TTATGTCCAATGGCATAACCCCTTTAGTTGAAGTTGCTCCTCCATTGAAACTTGTCAGGATGACTTCCGTTGGAATCATATCACCTTCTGTCTTTGAGAATTTCCTCATCATCCTAGATGGAATAGTGTTTATAGCTGCTCTATTATCGACAAGCACTTTTGTGACTGGTATGCCGTTAACTAGAGTTTTAACGTACAATGGCCTCAAGTGTTTGGTCAATTTCATGGCTGGTCGCTTAAAAATAACTTTTTCGGCAGCATCTATTTCCACTTCCTGCTTGTCCTCTGTCTAGTTACCCTTTTGTGATAAGTCAACTTGCAGCATATCGCACTGAGCCTCTGTCTCCTGAATTTCCTTTTTACTGTTTTCTAATGCTTCTTCTTCAGTTACCCAACCTGTGGGAGGAGGCATTATTCTTGGAGGTGATCCATACTTTTCAGAGCGAGGCACTCTCTTCTTCCTTTTGGGCGTCTCGTACAGCACGTAAAAATCGAAAGAACGCCCAGATGGTTCTCCCAATAAGTCTACTTCACGAACTCCCTCTCGATGTAATTGCTTCAACAAAGTATTGTACAATACTCCTCTTCTCTTTCTTTCTGCTTCCAGATCGATTTCCTCTTCGATGTCTGTCATACCATTATCTTCTTCACCAGTGTAGACCTCTCTAGAAGTTTGGCCTTCTTCATATTCCAGCATGCATGCTTCCTCTTCGTTGTCCTCCTTTTCTTTTTCTCCCTTTTCTTTATTTTTGAACTCATTGGCTAGTAAATAATTATTAGTCACAACAGGAGGTAACATACCAATGAATTGTAAGGGGCTGATTTGGATCTTCTCCATCCCTTCTGTCTCGCTCAAATTTCGACCTCCCAGAAGAAGTCTCTGGCAATTCTGCTATAGGTTCGCCTGTACCAATCTCATCACTGTCTTTGAGAACATTTTGATTGGCTGCCTTGAGTAGTCTAGGTGTCTTAGGACGTAGCATTCCCTATTGTTACCTCATCATTCGCCCATGGTTCCGTTGAAAACGCCTTTGTTGGGTTCTAGTCATCTCATTGAAAGGTATCGCCCTTCCAGCCTCATACTGAAAGGAATGCCATACATTTGGTTGGCGAGGTTGCGGTCTGAATGTTCTTCCCTTATGTACTGGCCTGAATTGCTTCTCAAAAGGCGATCCTTTATAGAACGATATACCTCGCCCTCTACCAGGCTGAGTGTTTGGGAAAAAACTCGGGCGATGGTGATGCTGCCATATCCCTGGTTTCTCTGCATTTGAACTCACTTCTTCTTTGCATCTTACACATAGGACGTCTTCGTCCTTTTTGGGCTCCTTCCCTTTGATACGTTCAAAGACACTGGGATGTGATCCAGGGTCTTCTTCTCCATCATCTATAACCAACTTGAATTTTGGCAACTTGTTTTTGAAACCAAACGTCACCATATTCACTCCAAGTGGCTGTGGAAAAGGATTTTCATCCACTGCCATCTTCCTCTTATCCTCGAACGTAATTCGTCATTTTTCAATGGTATCCTGTAACACATGGTGAAAAACGAAACAGCTGTTAGTCAAATGTGACCATGCATTATGCCATTTACAATATTTTTTACCTTTAATTTGTTCAGGGCTTGGCAATTTATGCTTATCGTTCAACTTTATTTGCTTGTCCTTATATAATTTATCAAATATAAGGTCAGCTTTGGTTACATCGAACGAGAACGTTCTAACCTTTGTGTTTTCATCTTTCATAGGCTCATCATTGCCCAATAGCCTAGGTTTAGCCATTATAGGACAAGTATACGTGTCTCCTTTAACTAATTCGGCCAAACACATTTCGATTTGATCGTAATACTCGTCATTAATGGTATGAACATCAAAATTTGGGTCTCTATAATAAGTCCCCTTGCTAGAATTTTTCATTTGTTCTTCTTCTCTTATTAATTGTTCATACCTAATCACGTTCACGCTCAATTGGAAAAGATCAGGAAATTCCTTGTCTTAGAACTTCTTCTTCAGATCAAAGCTTAGACAACCTTGAGCGATTTTGACAAACTCCTTTTTAGGGAAAGGTACAAAATATTTACTTCTTACTGTCTTGAACCTTTGAAGGAAACCTTCTGACCATTCGTTTGGCATTTGACGTAGATTCGTCAAATCGACGAAGATAACTTCAGACTCAGTCTTATAAAACTGAGCGTGGAACAATTGCTCCAATTGTTGCCATGTTTGAACAGACTTTGCTGGCAAATTGATGACCCAGGAGAAGGCTACTCCTGTTAATGAATTAGGGAAAAGCCCCATTTTATGATAATCGGTTACTTCACCACTTTGCAATGTGAATCGCCCTATGTGTTTTAGAGTAGACACCTCTCCTAAACCGGTAAACAATGAGAATTCTGGCACTTTGTACCCTCTAGGCCATGGGTATGCTTGGTCTACCCAATCAGGATACGGCTTTGTGTAAGTCGGCCTAATGATAGGACGTACTCCAAAAGCCATTTGGTCCTGTACGATTTCCATAATCTGATTCCTCAACATGACGTTGGGGTCATATGGAATTCTTACATGTTAGTTGACCGGTTGATTTGCTTGAGGCCTGATGTTTGGTCCTTAATTGGCAACAAAGTTACCATAATTTGGGCCATTGTTACCATTAGCCTGAACATTTATTCCATCATTAACACGTGGGGTATTCTGCCCATTATTTAGGACATTATCTCTTACATTTAGATTACCTCCCAAGTTGGATGTACCAATGCCACTATTTTGATTTGGTATTACACCACCCTCCTGGTTTGAAGTAGAGGGATCAAAATGTGGTTGTACCCCTTGATTTAAACTTAGGACCGGGGAATTATGTCCCACAATTGTCCTAGTTTGAAGGTGGTTTGTAAGAGGCACAACTGGCTGACAAATTTGGCCTACTAACTTATTCATTATTTTGTTCAAAGTATTCAGTTGTTTGGCCATGTTATCATAATGTGCATTCCCATTCTGGGTAAATCTTTCCATATTATGAATACTTCGTAGATTTACCCGTTCAACAACATCTTGTGTGAGTTCTCCGAGTAATACACGCATGGTTTGAGGACTCAATTCTGTCATTGGTTTGTAACGACTATGATTGCTCTGATTCTGTCCATCTGTTCGTGGAGAGCTATGCAGCTCCTCATATCGCTCGATCACAGACTGGACTCCTCCCTCACTTGCTGCTTCCTTATCGAATTTCTGAGGCATATTATTTCACCTTTTGTATCTTCAACACCAAACACCAAGGTCCCATTGGGCGTGCCAAATTGTTTCGCGCGGGTTGTCGCTAACAATTAAAAAGTGATCAGACGATTGTGTAAGGAACGAACCTCTTGAGACAAAGTCTCAAAATGGGGTGTTTTATTGGCGATGACTTTACAATTGGAACTTAAACATAATGCCTCCAAGGGGTGCAAGCACACGAGTGCTGAAAAGAAATATTTTAAGTCTAAACTAAGGAATTGAAATTACATATTCTCTGTTTGAGAGTGTTTGATTCGGGGTCCTGTGCTCTATGTCTTTTCTTCCTTTTATATTCCCTTGATGCTCTCTTTGTGATCAACTGCTTTGAAACTGCTTAATTGCTTTATAACTGCTGTCTCTAAATACTGCCACTACTCTTTGTCGTTCAATCGTCTTCAACTGAACTCCTTGAATCGTGAAACGTGATGAGATTACCCAATAACTGTTTCGATAACTGCACTTTTGGATAACCATAATATCTTATGTTTGCTAAGATCCTGGGAGATTCGAAGGTCAGGAAGAGTTCCAGCCTTTGTTGCCCCTCGGTAGAGTGAGTCTACTTGGCGCCAAATCTTTCTATGGATTGCTTCTTTCGCCTCTTTCGCCGACCTACCGGGGAGAGGATGGATGGAATGAAGGGTAGAGGAAGAGAAAAACAAAAGTATAGGTATCTAGTAGAGGATTAACTACTCAGCCCTTCGGTTGAAACTGCCTGGTCAACGCTCATCCCTTGTTTAACAAATCACTTTTTTAAATAAGATCTTCGGTCGATAAGCAGCAGCTACAGGACGAGAGCTAAGCTCGCCAGCCGTTAGGAAGTGCTTTCTCCCTTTTTTCACACAGGGATTGGGAGTCGGCTTTTGAGAGACAAGTCCAGTTTTTAAGTCTCCTTCGGACCCTTGCTTTTTCTCTCGTCCCCTACAGGCAAGACTTCTATCTTGAATCTTTTTCCAACAAAGTTCATTCGATCAATCTTACAAGACTTACATTTGGTACTAACAACTACCAAATAATTTTTTTTGATTTATGTATAATATTATTTTAATGAAAAAATGTGTTGTTAAAAATGAGTACTGGAGAAAAAATAATGTGATAGAATGTGGTAAAATGATTGACAAACAAATGCTAAGGCTTATAGTTAATATTCTGGATCAATTTAATTAGAATAATGTTATGCAATCCTACTGGAGTTACAATTCCAATCAAGGTGGTACTAGATGATAAATTGAATGAAAAATGAAATTAAATGATTTATTTAATTTCACTTATCATATAATGCTACATTAACATTTTTAACAAGGACGAAGAGATATAAGAATGTAATAAACAATTAACTCTATCCTAGCCATCTTTGAATTGGGCCATTGCAACCTCTAGATCTGGACGAGTAACTTCTTGTAGGCCCATCTATAAAGGATTGGGCTTGATGCCCATACATTTCGGACTCCAACTCAAATTGTTGACTCAGTTTGACTTCAGACGGTGCCCATGTTTTTGTAGATGGAAAAACATACAAATAATCGTGTGGATATCACAAACGTTTTTGTGGATACGTTGATACTGAAGACGGACAAATAATCGTGGTGGTTAGGACACGACACGCCCCGTTAGTAATCTCTCAACCAATCAGAACACTCCATTTTTCCCAAAAACTCATCTTTTCCAGTCCACGTGGCACCCCTCTCTCCACACCCTCTCACTCTCCTTCATTCGAATAAAAATGACAAAAGCCAACTCTTGAATTATTCTCCTCCACCACTCTCTTCCCCTTGCCCCAGGCCCCGTCTCTCGAATTGTACTATTCTTTCTTAATTCTAAGAAATCATCAATGAACATTTGGGTTCATTAAGATTAGAGAGTCCCAGTTTTTTATTTCAAGAAATGGCCACCTTTCCTGCTTCTTTTTCTACGCCGACATTGTATAAGCTAATTTTTCTATCTCCAAACAAACCAGCTACTAGAATTAAATGTTCATTATCTAAATCCAGTAATTTTGAGTCTAGAAACAGTATCAAGATTCTTAGAACTAGAATCAGAGCTGTTCAGAGAGAAGAAAGTGTTGTACTAGAAGAGGGAGACAACGAAATAATTACTAAATTAAATGGTAGTGTGAATGGGTCTGCTAATGGTAATTATGGTTACGGTAATGGTTCGATTGAGAAATCTACAAATGGAAGTCTGAAAATTGAGAGTCAGAATGGGAGTTTGGCGAAGTATGCGAATGGAAACGGCAATGGAAGTGTGGCTACTAGAATCAGAGCTGTTCAGAGAGAAGAAAGTGTTGTACTAGAAGAGGGAGACAACGAAATAATTACTAAATTAAATGGTAGTGTGAATGGGTCTGCTAATGGTAATTATGGTTACGGTAATGGTTCGATTGAGAAATCTACAAATGGAAGTCTGAAAATTGAGAGTCAGAATGGGAGTTTGGCGAAGTATGCGAATGGAAACGGCAATGGAAGTGTGGCTGTGAATACTGGAAAGGAGATGGTGGAAGTAGTAAAAGTGAAAGAGGGAATCAAGAAAAATAAGAGTGTGGAGGAGATTGGACAAGAGGACGCGTGGTTTAAGCAAATTGCGCAAGATCAAGTTGAGGTATGTGATTTACCTTTTGATTCGATTCTGTTCAGTTTGGTAGTAAATGAAAATTATCTAGTCCGTTATAGTATGAAAATTTTATACTTTTTTGGTTTAGATACTAAGTTGTAATGGAAAGTTCTTTGCAGTTAAGTTTTGCATTTTTATGTTTGAGTCTACATGTATAGTTACATGAATCTTGGAGTTGTATTTACTGATGTCAAAATCAGATTGTTATATCATTTTAATTTCTTAATCAAACCCTTTTGGGATAGAGAGCATGGAATGAGATCAATGGGTGTAGAGAGAGGGTGTGTGGTATATTCGATTATGTTTCTGTAAAAAGCAACAGTCTGGTCAATGAATGTGCTGCAGCTGAAACCAGTAAGAAAATGTTATGCTTACTATATCCAAGGGAGACTATTTGAAATCAATGTAGAGAATTATTAGTGGAACTGATGAGATGAATGGTTAATATACTTAAGCAAAAACTAATAACAAAATTATTTGATAGGTAATAGAGTTATGTATAGTATCAAGACGAAAATAAGCCATGTTTAGTGAGGTTCTTTAATACTCGTTTTGTCCTAAAACTCATCTTCCAACCACATATTCTCCAAATAAAATAATTTTGCACGTGGACCATAACTTTTTCCTACTTTATAGCCACAAATTCTCCAAAAAAATCATTTTTGACAAAATCTATTATCAAAAAGTCCACGTCAAACAGGCCCTAAATCAGATGTAAGATGCCCTAAATCAGATGTAAGATGCTTAAAGGAAAACGTTTACTTCTTTTTAATAATGTCTGTCATTCGCTGAATCTAAATGAGTTTGGTGTATGGATATATGATAGATCTTATTCTTTACCATTGATACTTTATCTTTAAGTACTTCATATCTTAAACAGCAGTATCATAATTTAGGAAGGACGGATTATATCATAGAAGCCGACCACGATATAGATGATTTTATTTCCTTACACATGAGAAGACAAAATGTCCTTTCTATGGATAAAATACAAGGCCTTATACTTCTACAAAAACAATCATTTCTTAAGAAACTTTAACATAAAGGACAAAATTGTAGTAAACTTTTAGGCGCTGTAATGTAATTTGAATTTTTCCGACTAAAGTGAGAAGTTTTTGCAACTTTGGTGACTGTTGGTGTGCTTAAACTCTCAGTAATTGTTAAAATTTTCGAGGGCCTGATCGATCTCTTATAAACTTTATTTGGTTTTATAGGTATCCGTTGCCCCTGGTGGTCGTTGGAGCAGATTCAAAACGTATTCTACAATTCAAAGGACACTGGAGATATGGGGATTTGTTCTTACCTTTCTATTCAGGGTTTGGTTAAACAATCAAAAATTCTCATACCGAGGTTAGCCACTTGCTTCAAACTGAAATTTTTTACACATCCTGGTATAACTGTTTTTCCTTTTGTCTTCACAATGACATGTCGTAGACATTTTCTGCATTCATAGGACAATAGTGAAGAAGCATCATTGGTGTGATTGTACGTTTTGATATTGCTAGTGAAATATTAATTTCCTCACAATAAATATTTCCCTCCTGTGGATGTCAGTTCTTAAGCACGTATTGCTACAATATCCATTGAATTACAGTGTTACCCAAAATTTTCCTGAATGAACTGAATTGATTGGGAACTTATATTGTCCATATGTGATTCAAATTTAGGTTTTCTTTTGTGTGCTTTTCTTTATTTAAACTTCGTTTTTGAAGATGTGACAGTTGGAACTTATATTGTCCATATGTGATTCGAATTTAGGTTTTCTTTTGTGTGCTTTTCTTTATTTAAACTTCGTTTTTGAAGATATGACAGTTGGGTACAGTTTCATAACCTTGAATTACCACTGCTCTACTTTTGGCAGCTGATTGTAATTTAATTTTTTATGTATTTGTGATGGTGATAATGTTTCTTGACTTGGTAAACATACATAAAGTTTAGATAGTGATGAAAATCTTATATGTGATGCCTCCAGCAAGTTCTTGTTTGAACCCATAATCTTAAGCCAACCTTTACTAGTAGAAATGAAGTTGATTATATTGTGCCAATTTGTGTTATGACTTTTTCAAATTTTTAATCTTTTTGTGGTTTATGCCAATAACTAACCTACCTTTGTCTATCATTTTGGTGATTAGCTCACAAGTGTCAAAGTTTCTTTGTTGCTTTTACTGCTTAATCTGATCCGTCGCTTTCTCTCTATGATTCTAAGTAACTTGGAGGAGTCATTTATGCAGGTGGGATGACAGAGGAAAAGAAGGTTCAGAAGCGGAAGGTCCTTGCCAAGTGGTTGAAGGAAAATATTTTGAGATTAGGCCCTACATTTATCAAAATTGGCCAGCAATTCTCCACAAGAGTTGATATTCTTGCTCAAGAATATGTTGATCAATTATCGGAGCTTCAGGTGAATATTATTATTTATTCTTTACATCATTTATATGCCATCCTTCTTTAATTTGGAATATTGCATGCTCATTCATAGTTTCACTAGCTTCTTTGTCTCAAGTCTAAGAGCACTTTGGCTGAGCCAGAAAGGTAACAAGACATCTATTTGTCGTCATCATCATCGTCTTTATTATCAACTCCACTTGCAATTGGGGGATGAACCTCATCCTTCCTATGCAAGAAACAAAATTTATTTACCAGATAATTTTGACCTCAAAAAGAACTAACTGCAGTTCCATTGCATGCAGGATCAAGTTCCTCCTTTTCCATCAGAAACTGCTCTGGCAATAGTTGAGGAAGAACTTGGAGCACCCTTAGATGATATATTTGAAAGATTTGACCGAGAGCCAATTGCTGCGGCAAGTCTCGGTTAGTTCATTCATTTATGCAGCATAAATAGATATTGTATTATTGACACTGGAAGATGTATTAAATTCTAATTGGTGTGTGTTCACTTTTTACCGTATAGGAAAGCAAACCTTTTTTTTTTTGGGTGTTTTAACTTTAATTACACGTGAAGATATGATCTATAAGAATACTAAAATCTTCTGCTACAGGTCAGGTCCACCGTGCAAAACTTAAGGGACAGGAAGTCGTCGTCAAAGTACAAAGGCCTGGTCTGAAGGATCTATTCGACATTGATCTTAAAAACCTAAGGGTTAGTGACTATTATTTTGAGGTTTTCTTACATTCTATTGGCATATGCTTATTGTGACATTCACTTTCCATAACATTGAGTTACCATACACAGCAAATCTAGAGGATCATTATGTCACTTTTCACTTTTGGATGTGCTGTATTCTATTGTTATTATTTGAAAGAAAACTCTCACCAATCTTCTGCTATTTTATTGTGAATGTGAACAGAAAAGTGGAAAACGGCAAGTAATCTTAAGTTTGCACAACATCTCCTACGTCAATTATACTTTCATTAGTTTTGTAAATATATTTTGCAGGTGTCTTTCACTTGTTATGAAATAGATAGGACACCTTGACACATTTCTATGTTTGATCCTTTGGTCTCTTCAGGTGATAGCTGAATATCTTCAGAAGGTTGATCCAAAATCAGATGGTGCAAAAAGAGATTGGGTCGCTATCTATGATGAGTGCGCAAGTGTTTTATACCAGGTAATAAGTTGGTATCAAATTAAGTTTGACGACAATTGTACTCTTTGCTGCTAATATTGTATGGTTGTTGTGAATCATAAATGTAGAAATTAAGTGGAAATTGCACTTTGAGTTGACAAAAATACTTGGATGTAGATAATAGATCAAACAAATGAATTCAGTTGTAATGGGTGCCTTGATTAGCCTTGGTGCTTGTTTGATAATGCTTTCAAGTGACTATAAGTAGTGGGTCTTACGAAATTTGTGAATGATAAATGGATAGTAAGTTGTGGATCCTTAGATATGTGTGAATAAAATGTATATCTGGCCGCCTAAATTAAAATTTAAGCAGTTCAATACCTACTCTTAATTGTTGTGGGGACAGATTTGCCTTAGTAACATTTGGTAATCGCGTTCTTGTTCTATTTCTTTCTATTCTAGAGGACTATTGTTGTAATAGGGGATTTAACAATTTTCAGGAGATTGATTACACAATGGAAGCTGCCAATGCAGAGAAATTTGCAGATAACTTCAAAGACATGGATTACGTTAAAGTCCCAACAATATATTGGGAATACACAACACCACAGGTTTAACTTTCAGAAATCATAAAAGTTTGAATGATGAATATTTTTTTCTGTGGTAATAATTTTTCGTTTGAGTAACCTTTTTCATGTTCTGTAGGTTCTGACAATGGAATATGTCCCGGGGATCAAAATAAACCGCATACAAGCTCTAGATCAGTTGGGTGTGGATCGCAAGAGGTATCAGCCACTATATATGAACCACATGAAGTGAATATTCTTACACTTCTGAGTTTGGAAGATAGAAATTACATTTCCAATTGCCTATATGATTCTCATTAGGTTGGGCCGGTATGCTGTTGAATCTTACCTGGAGCAGATTCTATCACATGGCTTTTTCCATGCTGATCCAGTAAGTCATCCTATTTTTTTTTTTTTCCCGGTGCTGAGTAGAGAAAACACCTTGCAGGTATAAGGTCAGCCCTGTGCTCCACCTTCCAGGAGCAATCTTTCATAAAGCCGACTCACTAACGAAATATTTGATCATTTATTGACATAGTACAAATCAAAGATGGCGTAAAATAGACTCCAAGTTTGCGTTGCTTATCTCACGCTTTGACAAAATCTCCCTCCAAATTCTTATTCAAAATCCTTTTTCGTGACGTCAATATTGGATGAACGCAATGATTGAACAGCAAACCCCGTTTGTTTCCTATTATTTGCTTATTAAAATGAAAAATATGACCGTTATCTATCACATCAAGCCATCATATTTGACTTTTTATCTTTCGTGGGATGTCCGTAACGACTATATTTTTCATTCTCATTTATACATTAATATGTACCAAACGTGACCTAAAATATGTGTTATTTTTACAATAAATGAATAATATTTCATTATGCAAAACAATATACACACACACATATATATGTTGAATTATTCCCTGACTTGTTGGGGCACATTCCGAGATTTACCTTCCTCACAAAGCTCTAGGTACGAGGCGGTGGAGGCCCTCAAAGTTAGGGTTCAACCTTTTTTTTATATATGCTGAAAATGCTAATAAATAAAGCGTTATTTGTTAAAAAATGCGTTGGCACCCAGTCACCAAGGATGGATAAAAGGATAACAATAGACTCGTTCATGGATTTGAACACCTCACAAAATGGCTGTAGTCAACCCTTTGGTTTTGGATTTTGTCTTTGGAAAAATTATAGCTATTAGTCCTTAGCCTTTAGTCTTATAGCAATTTGGTGTGAGTTAAGTTATAAAATTTCAATTTTCAACTTTCCAATTTTGTGGCTCCAGTAGTCCATATGGGTATAAAATGATGTATTAAATTCAAATTTTAACTAAACTACGGCTCTACAATCAATTTCACTCAAATAAGAAAAAAAAACGGAAAAAATAATACACATATAAAGACTCGTGTCTATGAACAAAAACTTGAAAGGCAAGCCGAAACCATGGGTAAGGGAGCTGAATGTATATAAAGGGAAACTATATTTATCTAGATTGTTAATGATCAATAAATCGTGATTGAAATTTGAACATCTTAAATGAACCATTACCCATTACTCATACATTTTAGAGTTCAATCAATTAATACCATCTAAAGAATTTTTAAACTACTGATATCGGTCTAGATGAATAATATTATTCTAAACAAAATCATGGGAAGAGGGACATGGTTCACTTGGGTTAGTTGTTGGGGGAGGGGGGGGGGGGGCGCTAAGATATTCAATATAGATGATCGTAGTTTTACTTTTTCCTCTAATAAATTCAAATACTAAAATTATGAGAGTTTTGCCTATTTTATCTTCGCAATACCTTACCTATGCTATTTTACAAGCCTTCTAAATGAAATTATCCAACGAGAGAGACTATAGAGGGACAAAACTAAAAATGTTAAGAATTAGTTCATCTTTTCTAAAGACTTGAGAGTCAAATTGGTATACTTACTAATAGTTGAAGATCCATGCTGCAAATATTTTTTGTCCGAAACAAAAGTAGTCGTTCTTCATCGTCGACCATTTACTTTTGTTAATCCATGGAATGCTTCCCCCATTTTGTTGGCTGTTTGTACAGCCCCTCATGTGAGGGGGCACCATGAATAAAAAATCCATGAGCCTCTCACAATGGACTGTACACAATCCAGCATGATGTACATGTAGCAGCATCTCTCCATTTTCTTTGCTAGTTTCAGTCCCCGTTTGACCCCCATTACCTAAAAATGAAAATGGGGGAAATAGTATTTTTTAAATAAATGAGTGGTTGAAAAAGAAGAAAAAGTTTTCGATTTACGTATAATATTATTTTATGAAAGATTGTATGATTGAAAATAGGAAAGAGAAAAATGAAATGTAATGAAATTAAATTTAATGGGGATCAAACATGGGCTCAGTCTCTATTTGGTTGTCAAATTTTTACACTTGCTAATAGTTGAAGATCCATGCTGCGAATATTCTTTTGTCTGACACAAAATTAGTTTGAGGTTCTTCATCTTCAGGACTTAACCGTTTACTTTCTTTGCCAGTTTCAGTCTGTCTCTTTGATTCATTTTTCATCCTCTCCTTTCCTTGCTTCGTTTTCTTTTATCGTTCAAATTTTGGTCTAAGTGGCAACAGGAGTGATGAGCCTTCATATTCTAGCTCAAATTTCACTATGAATGTTTGATTCAAAACCCTCAATTTTGTCGTGAAGATGCTGTTGTACAAGACGCGTGGAGATTTTGCACGCATCATATTCGACAAAGTTCCCTAACGTTTAATGGAATCAGCTCTTCCTCTTGTCACTCGACTTCGGAATGACACGGCTCATTCGATTGATTTTTCAGTTGAATTCGGCAATTGCCCGATCCCCAGCCTGAAGCCTGGCGGATGGTGGCTGGTTAATTTGTCCAAAGTTAGTTTTGGGTTAACGTGTAGAATATTTTATTATGTGAATGTGTGGTTGAAAATGAGTATGTAGAAAAAAAATTGAAAATAATGGTTGTCAAATAGGGACTTAATAGTTTCCAAGATTTGCTAGTCCTGAATTTAAACTGATCTTTATCACATCTTGTTTATAGGAGCAAGGTGATTTGAAGCTTCGTGTACGGGCTTTGGAGTCTGAGAGAGCTTTTCAACGTGTTGCAGCTGTTCAAAGTACAGTTGGAAGTGTAAGTTAGCTTCATATCAACTTAAAACTCACCCAACAAAGCCTTGTCCATACCTATCTGGCAATTAATATCTAGTTGGTTTTCTAGTTACTGGACTATTGCATACCAAGAGCTTGTATTCCTTATCTTCAAGTTCTATCCCTTCAATTCGACACAACTTCAGAGATAGAAAGATTTTATATTTGTCCTCTTTATTGATTATTCTTGAGAATTTTTATCTGAAACCTTCTCAAATTGACAAAAGGTTGTGGATGTTGAATTTCTTGGGCTCTTCTTGCAAGTCATTCTTCCATAATTCTGTTCATTTGCCAAACTACCTCATCTTTGTCTCTGTTCAAGTTCATCTGGAAATCTTATTTTCCTTACAGAATCAAGGTGTTTCTATGGCTGGTGGAGATTAGTATTTGTAATTTTTATGCTACAGGAGAATTTTTAGGATTTCTGTGTTGGAGGAAAATTATTGTCCAAATATAAAATTTCTATTATTTTTTACCGAGACATGATTCCCAGCTTAGTGACTTCACTTCTCCTGCTCCGTTATATACCAAATTTAACAGGCAGTTGCTGCTGGAAGCTTAATTAACCTTGCAACGATTTTATACCTCAATTCCATCCGGGTTAGTCTTCCATTTATTGCACATTTTGTCAATTCAGTTGTTCATTGTGGTCTATTTTTCATGGTTTGCTTAAATGGCTTGTTCCTGTTTGCAGACACCTGCAGTGATCGCATACACCTTCTGTGCGTTTTTTGGACTCCAAGTTTTGATTGGTATTTTCAAGGTTAAGAAATTAGATCAAAGAGAGAGACTAATCACCGGAACTGCTTAGGAATATGGTGAGTGTTTTTCTTTGGTTGCTACTGTGAACATTTTGATTTTTCAGAAAAGATTGCACACATATTCTGCTATGCTTCACTTCATGCTTGTATGACTTGCACTATAATTCTGGAACTGATTCAGAGTCGAAATGACTAATGGGAAGAAGCATTCATAAATGCAAGATATTCTCTTCAATAATCTTTAGAGGAAGCAAGATTTGAGGGCAGATAGTTGGATGTTTTTCTGAAACCTTTGTCCCTGGGGACTATACTTTCAGTATCGAGATCCTGTTGTGTGTCTGCTAACACAAGAAATCACAACTCAAAGTCGGGTCTTGTTTGGATAAGCTAAACCAGTTTGCTCAATATCCATGAAACTAACAAATATTTTCCGTGAAAGTACATGGAAGATTGAGTTTTTACTGCCGGGCTGATGCTTATCTTCCCGTAGCTGTATATGCAGAGGTATACTGTTGCAGTAGAAGTTATTGGAATTAATTTAAGAAGTTAAACATCATCTTAGATTGAGGAACCAAAATTCCATGTATAGTATATAGCATGCTAAAGTTTTCGCATTGGTGTAAAACTTAACTTTTTTTGTTGGAAATGAAATGAAATGAAATGTCAACTCAAATGTCCTGTTTTATTTGCTATGGAATCTCTCTCCCCTCATGTTGATCCTTACCAATTCAGTTTGTTCCAGTTTGTCATATTGGAATATGAATTGGAATCTGAGTACTGTCAGCCAAAAGATGTGTTGAATTGAAGTTCTCTCTTTTCCCCATTTTTATTTTTTCTCCGGCGACACTATGATGATGAAGCCATCATAGTGGAGTGAGTGTCACCTCTAGCAGTAACTACGCCCTCTGCGAGCGAATCTGAACAGCAATGAGTGTCGTCGCGCAATTGGCTTTGGGATATGGGATTGTCAAGAACGAAGGTGGATAGATCTGTGTAGGAGTGGTTGTTGGACGGTGGCTCTAGCGATAGGTGGTGTTTGACAGTGGACTGCGATCGTGGATCTGGTGGTGAGGTGCGTGGTTGATGGTGCTTGCGGTGTTTATTTATTTATTTATTATTATTATTTTTAATGGTTGTTGGACGGTGGCGGTACAGTGTTGGGTTGTGGTGATGATGGTGGATCTGTGGTGGGTTGCTGTTCAGTGGATTTGTGGTGGTGATTTTGGCGACGATGATTGCGGTGGTGCTGTTACAGGTTATACGGTAGTGGTAATGGGGCGGTATAGTGGCGGCGATGGTGGTTTTTTTTGGTTGTTGTAGTGGTGATCGTTTGTTGTTGGGGATTTGGGTGGTTTTGGTGTTGGTAAGGCTGGCGGTGGTGGTGGATTTGGCGAGGGGTGGTTGGCGATGTTGCGGTGGTGTGGAAAGAGTGTGTGTGACCAATTATGTTATGATTATTTTGTAATCGATAAATAATACGTGGCCAAATATGTGACCGTGACTAAATTTATAATATGTAACCTAAAATTTGCGACTATGACTTACAATTGATTAAGTTGTGACCAAAAAATTGATCGTGACCAATTAATCTAATAATTTGAAATGAATATATGAGTTGTGACCAATAAAAGTTGTGATTCTGTGACCAATGAATAATTTATGACCTATAAAAAAATTTATTTGTGACCAAAAAATAATATGTGACCTATAAAATTTTTGATTTGTGACGAAGAAATAAATTGTGACTAGAAATTAATTCATGACTAATTAATTTTTTGATTTGTGACCGATGAACAAACTATGACTTGCAAATTTTTTGAATTGTGAACATAAAATAATTTATAACATAAAATTTTTGATTTGTGACAAAAAAAAAGAATAAATTAGTAATTAAATTGTGAATTCGTGATCAAATTGTGTAGATTTGTGACCTAAATATATTAAATTAATAAAATAATTAAATCATAATTAAATTTAAATAAAAAATTAATTTTTGAATTTTGAAACTTATTTTCTTAATTTTGAAATATATCATACTTAATCTCTCACTTAACGAAATTTCTCTTAGTGGGAGTCATAATAATCTCATACTTTTGTTTCTTATTTTCTCTCTTTTCTATGTATTATTTGTTGTCTCATATTATAGACTGAATTTATTGATGATAAAATTTGAATTATTGACTGAATTTATTGATGATAAAATTTGAATTATTGACATAATTCATTGATCATGAAATTTGAACTAGATCGTCTATTATTTATATATTAGTATAATGTGTATAAAATCTTTCTATTTCGATGTCATCTAGATAGCAATCTATGAAATTTGATGTATAATAACCATTTCATGAGTGAAATGCAGGCTAACCAACTTAATAATAAAACTATTTTCTACAATTATCAATTTGTTGATATGTTTGGCATATAAATGTTGATTAATTGAGATGACATTGCAAAATGAGAAGATTGAATATTCAATAGCATCGGTTTGTATGACAATTAAATGACATTATCAATAGATTTTTTTAAATATAATGTCATATAATTACAAAAGAGCCTTGCGTGTTATGGCAAGAGCGCGACAAGACAATTCTTAAGGGCTATTTGAATGGTGAAGCTAAGGGTCATTTCAATCGAGTGTCCTGAATTCAATTGGTCAACTTATGTAACATCCTTCACATTGGCTTCACCCCACTAGCTGTGTTATAGTGCATGCTCGAACATTGTACTTCTAGCAAACAAAAAATTAGCAATAATTAGCCCCTATTTGATGCTTATTATTCGGAGGAAAATAAGTTTTGTAATAGTAAATTTTTAGAAAACGTCAGGGTAAAAAGTAGAAAAAAATTGAATTTACGTGTAAAATATTTTATTGTAAAAATGTATGATCGAAAATGAGTTTTAAAATAATGAAAATCAAACATGGGTTTAAAATAAAATAAAATTTCACTATGATTGAACTTACCCACTGTAAGTATATTTCTCCCATGTCACATTATAACTAAATGACACTTTGACAACAAGTGATGAATGGAATGTAAAAGACATTGCAAGATTGAACTCAACCCTGTTTGGTATAATTAAAAATGAGATTTTCCCAATCGAACCGGCAATAGCCTTTACACCTCATTTGCACTATGGAAAATCTTCCTGGGTTGGGTGGGTAGGGTCAGTTGATGAAGCTTTAGAAATTACTTTCACAAAGACATTATGGTGGCGGTGGTGCCTTTGCGTCGGAAGCGAAGGCGTCACAGGAAAGAGGAGGATCCTTAATTTATCCTAATTAATTCTCAATTCATGAAACCACTAGATTAAGAAACAAAAATAAATAAAATCATGGAAATAACACCATGGAGTATAAATACATTTATCATAGAAAAGGAAAATTATCTTGCTGCCTTAAAGAAAGCAGAAGTTGTCGAAAAAGTTATGCGCAATTAGATGTTGAAAAAAAGAAAGAAAAAATTAGATTTTTGTTTGTGGTGGAACAATAATTTATTTTAGGGTAATTATATATTATAACCCTGAATATGTAATTTTACTTACAACTATTTAAGTATATAAAAAAGAAAAAATTGTGACGCACTTAATAATTTCAGTGGTTACCTTATACTAATTTTTTTAGCTGCTGCTGCTTCTTCTTCTTCTTCTTTAATGGGTTTAACCGTTTAACTGATATCACTAGTTTGCTATTTATTAAAGGCATGTGCAATTGACGTGACTGGATTTATGCCTGAATTGTACAAAAATTGTATATACTGATTCTGCTATTATATTAGAGGTTTGGGATACTAATGCAATGAAAGATCTGTCTAAAAATAGATTGCAACTTTTGAGAAAGGTTGGGTAGAAATTTTTTTAGAATAGATTTTGAGAAAAAAAGTGATTTTTTGAGAACGTGATAAAAAAGTAACGAAAAGTAAAGAGAGGAAAAATAAGATCACACTAATTTGCAATCTTCGTGCAAATACAGTGCTAACTAGGATCAAATATATAAAGTTGGATGCAAAAACCATCACAGAGGTCTAAGAAGAAATTGAGGTCAAAGAAGAAGAAGATGATGACGAATTCGGAGAAAATAAAACTCCAATTCGGGAAGAAAATCATCCAAATGATCCTGGCTGAGCCTGAAGATCACTTGAGATCAGGTTTAAAGACTTTAGGAAAAAGTGTTGCAGATCCTGGGCAATACTGGCAATGCTCAAAATTTTTGAGTCAAGTGAAGACAGACCAAAGGCAGAGTCATGTGCAAATGGAAAAAGAACCCTGAAAGACTGATTAAAGGGTTCCTCTTTGTGACAGTCTGAGAATGAATGCTTTGAACATCAATGGATGATGCTTCTAGTGAGAAGTTTAATGAGGTTGATTATTTTGCAGCAGCAAACATAAAGCAAATGTCTCAGAGGTTGAATGTTTTCCGCACAAGGCAAAGAAATTTGTCGTCTAGCATTGAGTTGACAGGTGGGAATAAAAGGGAAAGGATTATATGTGAATTTCATGCCAAAAGAATGGTGCATCAAAGGGAATTTTTCTAGGTCCCTTCATATAAAGGAGGGAGCTCTATGGAAGCATCAAAGCAGAGATTATTTTCTAGTAGACAGTGTACACAACTGGACATATTACCAGGATGTCATCTGATGATTGAGAGCCTCCTGTTCCTTTTCGCCAATCACACTTCGTCGCTCAGAAACTACTGTCTCAAGCAAATTTGTATGTCCCCATTCACTATAACATCGAGCCAACAAAGGTTAGAGATGAAGTCTCCAAAGTTTCTTGTGGTGGCGATCTGCATTCGACAGGAGACAATGAGTCGAAGGCAATCATATCTTTGAATGATGTTTAACATCCTTTATAACTGTAAACCTGAAGCTACTCATTGTGCAACCTAATTAAGATTAAGGAACATGACAACAAGAGTATACAATATTTAATGACAGGCAGTAAATCAATTGTTTTTTAGAGGCTAGGCCAAGGGGAAAGAATGGGGTAAACTGTAAAGTACATAACATGTCTAAAAACGTGTATTTATTTTATTTTATTTTTTATTCTTTGACCTCTACCGGTTTATTAAAATGAAAAATGATGGTAATTCTCACATACAAACATAAAATAGAAGCACAAACCCTATAAATAGAAGATTTTGAAAGAAAACTAGCAAAAAGGAAGTTGTAAAAGAGAAGTAAAAGTAGAAGACTGAGCAGCATTGAGAGTGCAGAGAGAGAAGCATGTGCTTACATTGTGCTCATAGAGTTCTAACTTTGTGTAGGAAGAAAAATGTGTGCATTAATACAACTCAAGGGACGAAGGGTGCATGTTTTGTGCAAAATACGTGTGTATGTGTATAGACAGCCCAAATTAATAACAAATTACAAGTATGCATGGAAAAAAACACATAAATCATCCAGTGCCAAGTCAAACCCAGAAAATCTTGTTAACTGCAAAAATAAATTGTCACGAATAAAACAACAAACGATTAGAATCATAAATCATATTCATTAATATGAATCATAGAAGTATTATCTCTCTTAAGAAAATATGCTTCTACAATTATCTAAAAAATACTGAGATGGAATTTTCTGTGTGAATACTTTTACAAGAGACTGTTATGAGTAACTGATCTGAGTTTAACAAATCAAGCCAAAAGATAAAACCATTATCCACATGAATTAGGGTTTTCTTAAATAA